AGAGCAAGGATCAGTGAGCAGGATTTATGGAGGAACAGTTCTGTGATGGAGACGAGGATAACTGTTACAGAAACCCAGCCTGCCCAGCAGAGATGATTCTTGGTTAGCATTGTAAGTGCCCAAGAAGAGTGAATGGCCATTCGTCTAAGTTACCAAGGAGACCATTCCTAAAATCAGAAAACCCAGGGATGATCCTGTTTTCTGCTTTTTCCTAGCTTTGTGAATTTGGACAAATTATCTACCTACCCTGGAACCCAGTTCCGCCATTTTAAAAAATGGCAGTAGTAGTACTGGTTTGGTAGTTACTGAGATCTTTCCACTGAGACAGCCACCGTGATTGCACCATGCCTTTGATGTCAGCATCTTCCCTTTCCATGTGGGCTGCTGTTTGGACCAGACAATTCAGTGCACCGCCATGATTCTGCGAATTTGCCGTATCATCCCGGTGCATGGAAACCTCAAAGGGTGGTCTGGACAATAATCTTCATCTGTATACTTGAAAAAGAAACTCAGAACAAGACCCAAGGGCAGGTGCATGTATAAAGGTCAATAAAGGTTTATTTACAAGGGAAATGAAAAGAGGAAGAGGAAGAAGAAAGAGAGTGAGAAAGAGAGATTTATTGGTTAATAGATCCTACTAGTTGTAAGATCCCATGGATAGAATAAAGCAAGGAGACAGAAGTAAGAGAAGCTCTATTGTGCTCCCAGGCGAGGTTCACAGGCTCAGCGGGTACCTGAGAAGTCGTGCCCAGTTTACAGACGAGGGGTCTTTTATATGTCCCACTCTGTCGGGGCTGGGGAGATAGTGGAAGAGCCATGCAGTCCTTTTGATGGTGGTCCCGTCTGCTCAGGGTCTTTGATCCTTATCCGAGCGGCTCCGGGGGTAACATCCTCACACCAGCTCAGCATCTCATCTTGATACTTCCAGATACGCTTCCTTTTGCCACTCTGGGGGCCTGGGTGAGGGGTTTGGGTGAGGAGGCTGCCATGAGTAGCTTGGGTGACCTTTCTCTAGTAATGCTGTCTGTGGCCCTGGGTGCACTCTGAAGTCAGGCAAAAGCAAGCCCCCGAAGCTACATGTTTGGTTTTATACCAGCCATGGCTGTTTAACTCCATCCTTAGTTCCTAGCAAATCCCCCTTCAAGAAGTCAAGAGCCATGACAGATCCATGGCATGATGGGAGTTACAGCCTCAGTGCCTGGGGTCTCTTTGGCATGGAGGTGGGGTAGAGTCCCTAAAACATCAGTGGATGGAGAGTGACGTTCACTCAGGACATGCTCTTCCCCCAACACTCCTTTGAAGAACTGCTTCATCCCCTTGATCAAATAACTTTCTGTGTTTACTATAAATCTGTGGATTTAACTTAGCCTTGCTCTGTCTGTTCTCATTCATGTGAGTAAGTGAGAATAGACTTGTTCAATTTTCTTCCCCTCACCCTCACCAGTACCATCACTAGCTGTATGAATATAAGCAGTAATAAGTAAAGAGGTTTTGACTGAAACTAGAATACAGATTTGTCTTGTGTCGACATATGTTGTGTGTAGTGATGTTGGATCCATGGCTTTCCACCCTGGCTTCTCTAGGGTCACCATGAAGCACAACAACAACAAAAAGCCCTGTCCTAGACAAATTAGATCTAAAATGCTGGGAGTGAGGTCCTGGAATCAGCATTTCTTAAGAGATACCTTCTTATGATTCCTGTGAGGACTGGGCAGAGGGAGATAAAGAACCAGTGGTCTAGATGTATTTCAGAATCTTTTTGGTTATTCAATAATCTCATGTAGCTTCATTCTCCAAGGACACACTTTCTTTGTGAGGTTCAGTCCATTTATTTAGTAAATCTGGTGTGCTGGTTTTTCATTATTGATTTTAATGTAAGAGTGAACACCATAAGAGTTTTTACCCCTGCTAATTGACCACAACTCTATATTAAACTCTCACCAACACTAACATGTGTCTTCCCAGTGATGTGTTCTCGGGAAGATACGTGAAGATTAATGGCATGCACGTGGCTTCCTCCTCCGTCCCTCTCCTTTCTCTCCTCATTATCCAGAAACTGGGGCAGCTAAAAGCTGCTGGCAATGGCCAATCTGCTTTGTGCTCTGATTTTTCTCAATCATGACTGAAGAATTCCAAGGGCGGGAGCTAGAATCTCTCCTTAAGGACACAGGTGAGATTCATTTTCATGACAGTCCAGAGCAGAGAGAAGGTGAACAGGCTGCCAGCCTGAAACACTCTACCCATCTGCCTGAAATTCTGGAAAATTTCCTTGTCTGCTTCAGGGTAGGGCTTGTCCTTGAAAACTGTCAAATTTGATTGAAAAATTGGTATACTTTGAGTGAGCTGATTAGGCATTTCATTATAGCGGTAGCTGACTTCGGTGCTGATGTAAATCATCTCAGCTACTTGAAATGACCGTAAGTTAAGTGATAGCAGTGTCATAGCAGTTGATCGGTTATTCCCCCTTGGAACATTACATTTATTCTGAATGCTCAACAGGGTTTTGTGGTAGATCGTCCATGTGAACAGGGGGAAGCTGCAACTCCGGTCTACATGAGATTGTGGTGTGCAGGGCCGGGGGAGTGCATGTGTGCACCTACACACCCAAGCACACTCCACACCCAAATACACATGCACACACTACACGTAACATGAGCACACCTTTACCCAATGAAGCTTGCCGTATGTCCATGAACAGAAGAGCAATTAATAAGATTCAGAGGCTGCCAACACTTGTTATTTTTGAAAATTATTGATTAATTCAATGGAGGGTAAGTGAAGAGGGTCAGGCTTTAATGTGGCTGAGCTCTGTGGCTGTCACGTGTGGCCTTGAATGCAGAAGGACTTGGGAACATGGGCGTCGGGCACACATGCCTGGTTGTGGACACCTGGGGGGTGGTGTGGACACGTGCCAGTGTGCACAGCTGAGCCTGGAGGCAGGGGCTATAAGGGAGGCGCTGCTCAGCAAACAGCTGCAGAGGAATGACTGAGAGGAAGCAACCAGAAGGGAACACCACAGAACTCAAGGAGAAAGAGGCCGGAAAGGCTCCCGGTGCTCTTGCCCACCTGAGCCCAGTTGCCGCACTACGAATGGCATGAGCGGCAGGACAGTTCAATGCAGATGGGTATGGAGCCCTCTGAAGACCTCTGGAGGGGCTCAGGGGTGGTGGGCCGTGAGCAGGTAGTGCTCCGCGGCTGGCCGCCCCTCTGTGAGCACCTCCTGAGTCCCTGGTGCAGGCAGAGAAGACGCTGCTCACAGTGAGGAGGCAGCAGACAGACATGGTGCCTGCCCAGAGACAGGGCTGGGGGTGAGTGTTCCTCACAGCCCTGCAGCTGAGGCCAGGTTGACGCTGACGGCGGTGTAATAGCACAGGTGTGGCTGGTTCAGGAGTTGCGGGAAGAGCTGATGGTGCTGCAGAGGCAGAGGCAGAGGCAGAGGCAGACTCAGACTCAGTCAGGAAGAAAGCGGACCCCCACCCATCATTCCTAGTCTGCCCAGTGGTGGCAAAGTAAAAACTGATGGACTCGATAGACAGTTCCACCAGAAGGCAGGGGACCTTGGCAGGCTGATGTCATGGCCCTGGGACTTGGGGTGATGGGATCATTTGCACACCCCAGGAGACGAGAACCAAGGCTGTGGCCTAACAGCCTTGTGTGCTGCCTGGCCCGAACCCACAGTGAACCCACCAGCCTGGGATGGCTGCAAAGCACTCAGGTAAGACCTTAAACTGACTTGAATGTCTTCTATGTGCTGGGAATGAGGCAAAGCACAGGGACACAGTAGTGGAAACATTAGACAATGTTCCTGTTCATATCGCCTTATAGTCTAGGAAGGTGGAAATTCGACAATTACAAGTGTAATTGTTGTTGTGTGTAAATTCTGAATCAGGCAGAGTCTCGTGTAAGAAGCGTGTGATTCCAAGCCCCACACATGATTGACTGCAGGCAACTATTGCTAGAATGAACTAAGAAAACGATCTCATTTAAACCTACAGGTATTCATTATTTGCAGTATATAAATAATGACCCCAAATTAGCAACTTTGTTAATAGACCTTTTTTTCTCTATTGAAAACTCAAGCTTTATCTTACATTGCTGAATATCTATTGCCCATTTTCTAACTTAGGGGCTTAGTTTTCAGAATCTTAAAATATCCTGTTATCAGGTGGTGGTTCCTGTAAGACTGTAGAATCATTCAAAGGACACTTTGCATGCCCACCAGTCCTGGAGTCAGTCCCTGTTTGCTTCTCAGTAATCCCCATTACACTTGTAATTGTCGAATTTCCACCTTCCTAGACTATAAGGCCATATGAACAGGAACATTGTCTAATGTTTCCACTACTGTGTCCCTGTGCTTTGCCTCATTCCCAGCACATAGAAGACATTCAATATGTTTTCAATAAGAAAACATGTCCTTAACGAAAGACTCTACCAGTGACACAGTGTTTCCCACTCACCTCAACACCCCTGCTGGGCAACACAAGGCTCTCTTGGGCACCACCTGGCTGTGGGGTAGTAATGATCTCTGCCAGGTCTCCTCCATCACTTGATTATTCCCTGCAACCTGCTGGTTCCTTTTTTTTTTTTTTTAATTTATGTTATTTTACAAAAGTTTATTTTTACATCATTTTGTACATTTTTTTCCCATCTCGATTGTAAGCCCCATGGGTTTCCCATCACCAAGTCACCCGTGTGCCATCACCATAATCCCGTGCACTTCCTTCCCCATTCCCCCATTTTTGATCCCATTCCCCACTCCACGCCCGCAAAATGTCTCTGGTATATGGCTGTTCTTTTTTTTTGTTATTTTCTCGCCTGGTCCATTATACTCCTGCTATGAGTGAAACCATCCGGTATTTTTCTTTCTCTTTCTGGCTTATCTCACTAAGCATGATCTTTTCCAGCTCCATCCAAGTTGCTGCAAAAGACATGTGTTTCTCTTTTTGGTTGCTGAGTAACATTCCATTGTATATATGTGCCACATCTTTTTAATCTAGTCATCTACTTTTGGGCATTTGGGCTGCTTCCATGTTTTTCCAATTATAAATAAAGCAGCAATAAACATCGGGGCGCAGACATCTTTTTCAATCAGTGTTTTTGTGTCTTTTGGGTAGATACCTAGGAGTGGGATTGCTGGATCGTAGGGAAGCTCCATGTTTAGCAGTTTGAGGAACCTCCAAACAGTTTTCTATAGTGGTTGTACTAGTTTGCATTCGACCTGCTGGTTCCTTTTTAAAGAGCATAAAATATGTACATTATCTTAATGATGCCTCCAGGACAGGCTTTTCTTTGCTCTACTATTATGTGGCCAATATGAACCCCTCCTAAAACCCCTCCTCACTCCCACCACAAGCCACCTGGAAGTGGGTCACACTTCAGAGTTCCCTGCTCCAAGTGTCTTATGTTTTCCATAGTGAAACACTGCAGGTCTCTAACGAGTCACCACAAGCCTTTAAAACAATCTAAATATAATAAAAATGTCAGAGTACACCACACATAGTTAGGAAAATGTTTCTTGAAACATCTGTTTCAATATAAAACACACACACACACAAACACACACTGCATGTGTATTGGACTGAGATATTTAATATATTCCCTATGAGACATGCCATCAGTAGGATTAAGTATTGTGAGTCTGGTATTAAAATCCTCTGAACAGTGGGAGTGAGACCTGAGTTTAATGTGGTCTCTGCTGTACGGTGAGTTGAACATAATCCCTTTGAGCTTCAGCTTTTCAGCTGCACAACAGGTAAAGTCATTGATACAGTCTATGTGAGTATTATCTACATATTTTGTATATTGTTGACATTGTTATGTGACCAGTAACGTTTCTACTTACCCACATTGTATTTCCCTATTTGCTCCAACTTTTATCTTCCATTTCCACCAAAGTGTTCTTTATTGTCTAAAACTATATTGACATTTTTTCACCTCTATTCTTTTGTTCTATCATTCTTACTTATATTACCTTTCACATCTCAACTAACCTAATTCCTGTGCATTTTTCAAAATCCTGCCTAACTTCTGTCTTCTCACTGCCATTATTGCTCCTAGTCACTACCTTATAAGCTCATAGGAGCAGAGACCATATATCTTTAGTCCTGTGCTTTTCTTGGGACTGAGGTTCATGTCGGGAATTTATAGAATGGAAAGAAGGGCTCAAAGTCCACTGGGGTGCACAAGTCCTCTCTATGACTTGCTATGTGAAAAATCCTGTGGGATCTATGGAACTCAACTAGTTTCTTCTCCCTGAAATGGTCCAATATTCTTTCTTCTTTGCTTAAAAAATATTTTTCATGCCTTAGAAATGACTCCTGAGCTGAGTGGTAAAAAACAAAAGAACAAAAAAGGTTAAATGCAAATTTTTTTAATATGGTAAGCTTATCTGTCATCCATTAATAGGAACTTTGATGACTGTATATATATATATATACACACACATATAATATCTGCTTTTTCAATTAACTGTCAATTAGCAGTATTATTGATGTAAATGTTTACATTGAGCTGTATTGAGCTATACTGAGGCATTGTCTCCACTTTTGTAGCCACCAGCTGGCCATGGATATGGAGAATAATATTGAAAAATATCACCTCAATCTACAGCCCTTGGAATCAAAGGTCAAAATGTAAGTACTTTAAAATTTGCATTAAAGCATTAGTTGTAAAGTTATTGACTTATTAAGTCCTGAACTACTCTGGAATTTGGAGTACAAAAATGACACATTTGCCTATTTCACCTTTATATAGTATACCACTCCCCCCCCCCACTCACCCTGTCCCCCATTTTAAGAGGCAACACAACTACTTTATCACACTGTGCTGATATGGGAATGATTGGATTACCATCACTTCAAGTTTGCTTGGCTTTTCACTGTCAGAAAGGCTTTTCAGCTTCCACTAGCATTTCTCACTGTTTTAGTTTCTTAGTTACTTTATCCTATTCCAGGATATTTCTTAATTTTACATGAACACACACATCTCTTAATTTTACACACAAAAAAACATCTTTTCAAACCTTTCTTCTTCCTATTTCCATTCCAGCCCTGGTCCAATTATTATTCTTTTTTTTTTTGGGCAGGGGTGTCTTTCTTTCTCATTTTAGGTCTTTTCTTATAGTCGTAATGCAGTCAAATGTACCTCCTCTCCTTCCACAATAACCATCAGCATACAATAGTGTTAAATTCACCTTAATACTAACAAAAGTAAAACAAATAAGATCCAAAGTGATACAGATCACATTCTAGAACAAAATAGCAACTTCTAAAACCATTTGTAAGTAGAGGAAAATCCCAGCACATAAGAACAGCCATTGAGTGTGTATCATCGCTCTCTCTCTCTCTCTCTCTCTCTCTCTCTCTCACACACACACAAACACACACACAGAGCTGAAACTCTGAGAAGCTCACACATGTGCTCATGTCAAGCTCATGTCTGAGCTTCACCAGAATTGCTGGTCATTTGCAAAAAGAAACACAGATGAATTTTCTAGAAAAGCAGATACCCTGAAGAGGCGAGACAGGAGGAGTGCAGAATTGAAAAATGAGTCTTGCTGGATTTAGGATTTGAAGCAGAACTGAGGCAGGTGTATAGTATTATCCTAGTGGATAAAAAAAATATTCACACACATCCTGCAGCTCAGTGCTAATCTTGGCTGTCAGCGGGAAGCACACAGGACTGTCCCTGAAGGTCAAGTTCAAACTTGGCTTCTGACCTTGGTGGGTCCCAGCTAGGAAGCTCTGCATCACACTTACTAAGTGAATGATGAAGCAGGCTACCAAATCATTTCATGTAAGCAGTGTTCAGCTTCACTACACAAGATGTTAGTTTCTAAACATAGGTTGATTTATCCTTAGGCATTTTCTCATTAATAGTGTCCTCTTAAGTGAAAAAGTGCCGGAAAGGAGAGTTGGTTGTGTGAAAAATTAGAGAGCTTACTTTGAATGCTGAATGAAGTCAGGAAACCTCATCATCTCCAATATAGGGGAGCAGGGAGGGTACCAGCAGCCGGAGCAGGCAAAGCAAACTTCTCTGCGGAGGTTCCAGCCAACGGAGTCTGGCATTTTCTGTGCATTTAGTGTGATAGACAAATCACAGCTCAGTGAGGTGTAAACAGAATGGTTTTATCTTTTCTAATAACACTGAACTCCATTTCCACTGATGTGGTGGTGGTGGGGCAATGAGAGAGAGAAAACTTAATCTTGCCCAATAATAGAATCTGAGTCTCATCAGAGAACTTAGTTCAGTGCCTTTTGCTTAATCTGATTATTAAATTCTTAACTCTTACAACTGATCATCTGGCACATGTCAGACCCTCCCACTTCCCCTCCTCTCCCCACTCTCCTCTCCCTACTCTCTTCTCTTCTGTCTCCTCTCCTCTCTCTCCTACCACCCAGTGCCAGACACCAAGCCTGGCCTGGAATCCAAGTACAGTGAACACTGTGCTCCCAGAGTTGTTTCCTTAAAAAGAACACTAAGTGCTGGGACCCATGGGGAGCATCAGTGGTGTCCCCCAAGTCCCAACCAACGGTGTAGTCTGCACCCTTCCCAGTCCCCAGGCTGGCCTTGGCATCCTCCCAGGGAAGAATGTGGGGTGCCTACATCCCTGCTTCTCAAAGGGTGTCCTTTAGACATTGGGAGCATGAGAAGAACAAGGGGACCTTTCCTTGGGTTTCAGGGGCACCCTCAAACTTCGCAGGCTTTTTCTGAGTATCTACTTCCTCTGTTGGTGGGACCAACAGAACTTCACACTCTCTTTGGAAGAAGAATCGAGGGTTCCTATACTATAAAACCTGCACCCTGGCAAAACCCCCTCCTCCCCATGAAGGAGTGGGAGGTCTGATGCAGGCTTGCTGGAGAACCCAGCCCCGCAGTCCTGCCAGGCATTCTCTGCTATGAAGGACAGGCAGGTGTGGCCTGTCCCTGGAGGAGCCCTGCATTGTACAGCTGGGTATCGGGAAGAGTGTTTCCCCAAACTCAGGACACCATGAATTTGGTAAGAAGAAGCCCATGTTGTGACAGTGTGAAGTGTCCATGGATCAAAGCAGAAGCCTGTAGGGGAAGGACGGGTGTATGTGTTGAGGGGAAGGGTGTCAGGGAGGAAGCATAGAATTGAGAGGAATGTCAGGAAGGTGTGCTACCTGGTTCACAAATGCAACCGTTAGGAGGTCATTCTGAGTTTTCAGCTTGTGGGAGCAAAGGACTGTGTCAAAGAGCAAAAGCAATCAAGGTTGCACAGCTATTAATAAAAAGTCACTTGGAGAAGGCGGGAGGCAGGCTTCCTGCAGTTCCAGAAAGGCAAGCCGCCAAGTCGGAGAACTAAGTGACAGTGAAGGGGGTCCTGGAAGCCCCTCAAAGAAGGCGCTCAGCCCAATGCAAAGAGAATAGACCCTAGAACATGCTAACGTCCTGACCACTAGAAGCCAGAACTGCAACGAGGCTGGGGCAAAGGTTCACAAGGAAGGAACACAGGCTTTATGCAAGGAAGGGCACGTGTTGCCCAAATCCAGCCAGCCACTGCCACCGGTGTGTCCTACTGAGAACGCAAACACTTCTCTGGACAGCAGCCTTCACTTTAAGGGTGGCCCTGAATGGTGGCAATCCCCTTCCTGTGCTTTACTGTCTTAGTGCTCACACTGGCAGCACCTATATTAAAGTGGCATGAAACAGAGAAGATCAGCATGCTCCTGTGTCAGAGGACATGCAGAGTCATGAGGCATTCCTTATTAAAACAACAAGAATATATTTTATTTTGTTAGGGATAAACAGACCTAGAGAATATAAACCATCTGTTAAAGCTCTGCTCATTAAATATATGCAATTCCTTTCCTTATTTTGTATTAATATATTTTATTTTCTACTGCTGTAACATTTAAATTCTACAAAGAGAGACAGAGAGAGAGAGAGAGAGAGAGAGAGAGAGAGAGAGTGTGTGTCTAGAGAGTGAAGACAATCCCCCAAAGAATTTGAACGATGTTTTGCAATAAAACCTTGTTAAGTTGCATTGGAGTGTAAAGCCTGTCAACATCAGTCAAAGTTGAAAGAAAAGAGTGTTTGCAAGCAAGACTTTGGAATTAGAGCAGCTTAGGTTCACATCTGATTCTGCTCCATACCCGGTGTGCAGGCCTGGGCCTCAGCCCCTTTCCTTTGTAAAATAAGGTCAGTACCAAGTGAGGAGAGCCCTAAGAGATCACCAGGATCCCTAAGACAAAAGGAACCTGTGAGGATGCCTGGCTAGCCCTCTTTGAAGTGAGTACCCTTTGATATGGATGCCTGGACATCAAACTTGGTTCAGGCACTTGAGTTACAAGAAGGAAATGTCAGCCCTGGGAGCTTACAATGTGGAAACCCTCTGCAAATCCAGCCGCTCATGTCTCCATTGTTGTTTTATGTCCAGCTTTGCTCGCAAAAAGCGCAGCATTGTCCTCTGGTGTCCAGTGAACTAAAATGCAATAAAGATACAACTTCCTCCCACCCCATACCCTTTTTCAAAGTTTCCCCTTGCACCATTTGGCTTTTATCAAAGTCCTGCATTAGTATCTGGTTTTTCTAATGGAAAGAAACTGGAAAAGTATTCCCACTTTTATGACCAAAGGCAAAACACAAAACAGCATCGCTTTGCAGCAGTGACTAGGAGCAAAGGCGGCCCCCAGAGCCTTCCCTGGACTTCCGGTCATGGGCTAGACATCGATCGCACTAATCCTTTCACTCTAGTCTAGTATTATTTGAAAATAACCGTATTATTTGGTATGGCTGGGTAGGTTTTATGCAGGGGGTGGAGGAGGGACTAGAAATATTCTAAATTTTTTCTGTCTAAAGCTAAATGATTCTTTGCTTAATACCATTTTGGCTTAGAGATGTTTCACAGCAACATTCTACTTTCTGAAGCAGAGGAAACCTGTGTTCTCAAATGATTACCAGATTTTCTCTATTTTTCTGAATAATCAAGTGAATTTAGAAAAAGAGAGACCATAGAATGCCTAGGATTCTTATAACATGTGGCTATGAATTGTCAGTATGTCCTGATTTTTAAATGGCTTTTTTTCCTGTTTCTTTATAATGTATATCCTTACTAAAGACACGTTTATTTAAACTTTTAAAAAAAGATATATTTATGCATTCAGAACTTGGGTGAAGGGGCGGTGAGAAGATTCACCAGAGATAGAGTGTGGAACAGAACAGGCGGACTAATGAAATACACTGCTGAGGGGAGCAGCAGGCAGGTCAGGAGAGGTCTGCCATGTCATGTAGGTCACCTCTGAGGCAGGGATCGAACTCATGCTAAAGTGGCTTTAGCTTCATAGTGATGTACTTTAACCCACTGCACCATCAGGTAGGGCCTATTTAAACTTTTAATGAAAGCCTATTTAAGGAAACTAAATGGAATGTCTTTTATTATAAGTACAAACAAATAGCATCACAGAAAGCCAGGAAAATGACACAGATAAAGTGATGACCCTTACCGAAATAAAATACTAGTATTTTATGTCCTTACAGATTTAAAATCAGAATAGTGATAAAGTGCCCTGTAGTGTAAGTTCTGGATGGGCACCATTACAGACTGCTGGTGCCCTCAAGTGGCAGAATTTGTTAGCAGGAGTCTGGGAAACAGGCTTCAAGTACTCTGGCGATAGAGAAATCAACTTCCAAGAGTTAGCTACTCCTTTCATAAAGTGGGCCCTGAAAGAGGCAGTGGGCTCCCTCCTCCCCAATCTCAGACACATCATCTTGCATAACTCCTCTGAGATGCTGTTGAAGGTTTTTAAACCAAAGAAATGTAAACAAGTAAGGTTGTATTTTTGAGTACGTACAACCAAATAGAACAGTGACATGTAACCCCAAACAGAGTCATATCCTGCTTTAATGGGACCTGAGATGTTTATATAGTTTGGAGGAAGCTTTAAACACCTACAAAAATGTCCACTTTTGCAACTGTATACAAACCATGAAGAGATTTCTTGCAGGGTCTTCAAAGATGCTCTTGGCAGCTATCTAAGGAAAGTCTCTGTAAATTTCAGAGCTTCAGGGAAATTGGCCTCTGATCTAGAAGTATTGGTTCACTGAAGCTTCTGAACTTTTCCTTGAGTGTGATAATTCACAGAGGATTATCCAATTAGGAAACATGCATTTACTGAGTCATGTGGTAACATTTATGTGTACTTTCTATTTTTCTGATTGTAGATAATGAATGATTTTGAGCCATTTTAGTTAAAAGAAATTAAATCAGTTTGTTTATACAGAAACATCGTAAAGACTTTAGTTGTGTGTGGGAATGTTATAGAACAGCAAAGTGATAGTGATGGAATCTATGTACTGAATCCTGACAATAGGTCTCCACTTCTAATCCCCTCCAGGAAAGGACAAAGTGTTTACATTGGCCTCATGTGAAAACTGAGATGTTAATCACAAAGATTAGAAGTCAGTCTAAATAGGGAAAAAAATTACTTAGCTTTGACAAAGGAGATGATGTTAGCTTTTCCTGATACTAATAACAAATAAGAGCCCTCCTCTTATATATTGTACATGTGTTATATAGTATATATTTAGTCACCTGATCAAAACACATGCAGCTTTCATCAGCTATCTTGACTTCTCTGCCCATTTCTTCTTTCTTTACATTTATCTGTTTCCTTTCAAAATGTGTAAAGTCCGTGACTGCTGGGTATTTGCCTTGTCTTGTTCAGAGCAGGGCAACTGCTTCTTGTCCTATGGAGGACCCCACACATCTTGGGAGAACTTCACTAGCAGTCCACCTGAATGGCGCCCTCTAGAGTTGATTTTAGTTTCTGTCCAGCGTGACCTTGCAACACTAATGTACCAAGTGAATGAATCAGCAATGTTAGACTATTTATTATTCTCCTTGGAAACATAGAATGAGAATCCGAAAGATGTGTGTCCCATAAATCAAAGTACATTGACATGTGCAAACCGGTTTCACTTGGATGATTTTTCTGACTGAGTTGACTGGTCAACTTAGTCCTGTAAAGTCTGTGAAAGTCGAATCAGTCCATAGAGAGACATCTGGGTGTATCAGTCCACAGAGAGACCTCTGGGCCGCCTGCCCCTCCCCCTCACCTCCTCTTCTCCCCACCCCAAGTCCCCTTCAGTCTGCTACAGTTTCCTGGCGCCAAAGCCCATCCCTTCAGACTTCTCGTGTACTTTCTGAGTCTGTGCTCTGGGACCGGGAGTAACATGTGTCTGCCTACCCTTGCAGCATCCAGCGCGCATGGCGTGAGTACCTGCAGAGGCAGGACCCCCTGGAGAAGCGAAGCCCGTCTCCGCCCTCGGTGTCCTCGGACAAGCTGAGCAGCTCGGTCAGCATGAACACCTTCTCTGACAGCAGCACGCCGGTGAGTGTCCCTCCCTCTGCTCTGCCTGCCAGTCACAGGTCACCAGGGCTCTGGCTGCTCAAGGTAAGGCTGGGATGTGAACAGGTGGCTTGTGAAAGAAAATCTGTGCTGCTTGTCTGTTCTCCGTGAGCCAAGGTGAGAGGGTCCTGTCATCTGAAAACAAAGCCCAATTCATAAACACCACATGAGCTGTGTCTAGTGTGAGGGAATTGGTGGCTTGAAACCATTCTAAGCTAATTTGTGTTCTCTTATTGTAGAGTAGTTTCACAGAAGTTTCTCCTTTTAGGCAGTACCCCTGGAGGTGATCTTTGAGGCTAATATGATAGAAGATTAGCTCGGTCATATATGAATAAAGAGGATAGGGAACTTGAAAGGGGTCAGTGCAAGCGGTCAACTCAAATGCCTGTGCCAGGGTCTGGTGAGGTGAGTGGTCCCATTATTATTTCGGATCTGTGGCCCAGAATGGCTTCACACAGCGCTGGGCTCCTGGACATTTCCAAATGTGATTTTTTTTTTCTTCAGGAGTTGTCAGAAATCCAATCCATTTCTTAATGGCAACCAGTAAGAAAATTTAAATACAGGGAGACCATGCTTACGAACCCCATTATTGTGGGGCCACTCATCTAAGAACACCAGGTTCAGGGGGACAGAATGAATCTGTTGAAAGTCTTATTAAAAAACAGGCATGCCAACTGTGGTGGGAAATAATCAATTAGGCAATTGAAATACAGGGTTTTATGGCCATCATGGGATCATGATGATCACTTACCATAGTCCCTGGGTACTAAGTGAGGAAGAAAATGAAACCACTCTGTGTACCTTTTTCAAAAATATCTTCCTTGACTACTTTGTAATGCTGTATCTTCAGTTGTGAAAGGATTTTCAGTCACCAAAATAATGTGTCCACTTTTAGATGATGTCGGGTTTGCTTTGAAATGTTTTCAGGTGATCCTGTTGCATATCCTTAATAAATAAACAATTGTAACTAGTTACTGACTTTAAAGAGAGAATAGCAAATTGCATTTACTGCTGAGCAAAAGATCTGTTTTTAGCTGACAGCAGAAAAAGAAGCTGTGTTTTAAGGACCATTTTTGCCAGGTGAGAATGGGTGGTAAACGGGCTTATCTGACTTACTGTCGCTAGAGGGCGCTCACGAACCATGTCTGAATTTAGTGAGTGTGTATTTGAGTGACAACTAATGTGAAAATCGAGTTAGGATGCCTTGCCTGTGATTGCCAACAGAAGGTACCGATTAAGTGACACTAGAGATTGGATTTGTACGGTAGAACCTGACTTTCAGATATCACTCTGTCCATGCATCAAAGGTTTGGATTTACTGTTCAATTTTGTACAATATCCCCTGTCACTGATTCCCTCAGGATCTAATAATGGTTTAGTGTTGCTTTAGCATGGTCAATCTTTTGATTTTATTGCAAATTTTGGAAGAATATATGTTTGTTTTATATTTGTTCATTATGATCCTAGTATAGCAAGAGTTTTTTTACATAAATAGCTGTTCTCGAGCATCTGTCTTCACGTTTACTTATATCTATATAGATTAGTCCACAGTTCTGTCTTACCCAACTTAGCCTAACCTCTGGGTCCCCAGTGTTTCTTATTAGAGGAGATTTTCTCCCTCAAATATCCCCAGCACTTTGGTGTCACTACGTTGTATCAGAGGGAATTGAAAATGGCTTCCTGCCACACCTCATGGTGCATTGTTTCAATAAGCCCCCAGAGACACATTCTGGCAACAGTCCCCAAAGATGCTTTGTGTCATCAACACCCCTGAATAGTGTATTATGCTGCTGAGACTCAGGGAAACTTTGCATTGTCAGAAGTTGGCTTTGTGCTCCCAGGACAAGGCTGTCTCTGTGTGGAGAATTTTGGTATCCCTGACTGTCTCGAGACAGGGAACATCAAAGCCGGTTCTCAAAAATCATTATTGAATTAGCTTCAGAAAGCAAGTAGACCCTGCCGAGAATTATAATCAAGGTTATCGATGATAGTAATGACTTTGGTATTGGTGATGACAGTGCTGTGACACTAAAGGTACAAAATAAAATATGAAATGTAGGATGCTGAGACTCCCCCAGTGTCTTGTTTGTCAGGAAGGTAAAATAAATTACAAAATTCAAGTTGTAATTTACAAAACAAAGTATTTATGTTGGGAGCTGGCATGATGAACCAAGGCTGTGCTTTCTGACATGAGCTTTACTGTACTGGGGCCTTCTGCAGAAAGACTCATTCTTAGTCTCAGTGATCACACCTCCACGAAAGGAAGTGACTCTTCCCCATCCTGACCATTCTGCCACACCCCTAGGGTCCACACTCTCAGGGACTCCCAGATAGGAGAAGTGGTCTTTCCACCAGATGATAAGGGGGCCATTAGTTTACGGTGGGAATTAGGTTGGCCCCAATCTGCCTGTCTAAGCTGCCATAACTAACACCTACAGTTAGTCCATCTGGAATTTCAGGGTCTCTCACCTTTGCTCCAAGGCAGATGCTGTCAGAGTGATGACCATGGAGATGTTTTGGGCCTTGAATCCTGCTAGATCCCTGCCAGTGTGTTGAACTTCAGTCCTCTTTCTCTGGGCTCCATTTACCACTGTTGCTACCAGAAAATGACATGTCTTCTGAGTCTACTCGGTTGTCTGTCTTGGCCCCAGCACTAACTTCTAGCACAGTCTCAACAGGAGGGCTTTCTGCCCTTGGGCAATGTCTGGGCTTGGCACTCTGGGCCAATAACTGCTGGTCCTAGCGATTTCCCCGGGGCCATGCCTCCTGGGAAGCCAGCCCCCTGGCTTGGGTGTGGCACTGTGAGCTGAGAATGAAGCTTTTGCATGCTTCTAATCCAGTTGCTTTGGCTCAATAAAATGATTTCAACATGAGCTCTCAAATCCATCATTTAGAAAAAGTTGACATGCTTTCTATGGATCTTCTCAGCACTTCCACAGAAGAGGTACTATTATTTCCCATCCACATATGATGAGTAAAGAGGTAACTGCATTGCTCTGGTTGCACCCTGGGAGGAGCCTGCATGGTTCACTGGTCTATGATCCCGTACACTGAAGAGGATCTGCATTAGATGTGGTCAAGCAGCAGATGAAGCAATCAGTTAATGTATTTCCAGGCTATTTTACAATTTAGAAGGTATAAGCAGTGAATGAAATAATTGAAAAACTTCCTCGTGTGATTTTATAAATTGCCTCATTCAATGCTCTTTGATTAAGACCTCAACTTCAGCTGCTTGATGCCAAATTAAAGAGCTACAGGATGGGGGATAATATTGTTATTAGCAATTTGTGTATCAAGTGCCTTTACACCATGAGGTACTATGTGGTAACAGAACACTTCTGCTTAGAATTAGCAATTTGAATAGAAATTGTTACTGGGAAGTGAAGCTTGTGGATGGCAGTGTGAGAAAAATGCTTAATTTACTTTTTACCATAAAAATAATAGTTATTACATGAAAGACCACAGTTCAACTATTTTGTATATGTTTATTAATCAGTCGCATATGATCAAATACTTACTCTTTTAGTTCCTAGTTCTGAGAAATCTATAATTTGTCTAATAAGATAGAGAAAGAAACTGTTAATGGTATCTTCTAATGACTAGATTGCCATGCTTCTCACAATCACTAGCGATGTTGGGAGACACTATTCCTCCCTCTGACTTGGATGTTTCCCTGGCCTGGCCCTCCTTCCACCAAGTCTGTCTGCCACGGGGTACGCTGTCACTGTGCCAGCCTCTGGTGGCTGTGTGGCTCATGGCTGAGGCCAGACCTGGTCAGAGGTCCTGCCTCTCTTCTGCCACCATTTTGTGTGTCTAGGACATGTCATTCATCTGTGGACCCTCCTCAGAGACAGGCTTGAATTTTTGTGACACGATATGTAAAACACCGCCCAGAGACTGGGCCCTAAAGACTTGGGATGACTGTCAGTCAATTCAGAACCTAATATGAAAAACATTCATGTACCCAAAACACTTGAAGGAAGTTGTGAAGGGGTCAGATGGAACTTTTACCTTGATTTCTTAGCAGCCCAGGCCCTGCTTTTGATCTGCTCAATGAACAGATCATTGAATTATCTGTGTCATATATGTCCTCTCTATTGATGTATGTATGTATCCATCTATCATCTAGCTATCTGGATATATGGATGTATATCCATATAAGTGTATATTCTGAGATTAGAGCTATGACATTACTAAAGTGACAAAGGAAGCATTTATTTTAATATTGCTCTGATTGAAGACTAAATTGAAGGAAAGCCAGGTGTAAGTCATTTTGCCTCTAAATGTGTAGCTCTGTTTGGAGAGAAAAACAAGTCAGGATCATTTTCCTGCCTTCTAGACTGGAGAAAAAAGAAATAGAAGACTCAGGGAGCTTGTTGGGAGGACCAGTGGCCTCCCCTCTCAGGGACAGAGGTCCGGTGTTGGCACAGCCTGTCCCGAGGTGGTGCTGCACTGCGATTGATGAGCGTGAATTACAGACTGAGCAGCTTCAAGAGGTTCTCTGCTCCAGCTGGCTGCAGGCCCTGTTGCCTTGTGTGTGGCTGTTTGCATGGTCTTAGGAAGAGCAGCTGGAGAGTCAACAATGAGTGAACAGGTGACTCACCACACTTTCCCCAGAACAAGAGTGAATGCCGGTGATGCCCCTGCCTGGTAAGCACACCAGGTGCATGACGCAAACTGCTTCATTAGCATCAAACTTGATTGCCTTTTTTAAGGTTTATAATCTCCAGACTTTTATACATCAGGGAGAATCTGGTGGCTAAAGTAAGACAGTCTTGTTACAAAGTCACACTTGTTATTTTTTTGGAGAAGTCAAGCTCTGAACGATAATTTACTGGGGTCTTCCAATACACTTATTATTTTTTAAATATTTATTTATTTATGCATACATAAACTGGGGTACAGGCCAGAGGTACGGGATGGTGAGAGGATTCACCAGAGTCAGAGTGAGGAGTAGAACAGGCAGATCAATGAAGTACACT